CATCCACAGCCTTTCCCTCATCCACTAGGTATGGGGATGTCATAGGAAGGAAATCAGGTTGGTCAAGCAGGACCTGCCCTTCATGAACCCATGCTGGCTGGGCCTGATTCCTTGGTTGTCCTGCACATGCCCTGTGAGTGCCCTCAAGATGAAGCGCTCCATAATCTTCCCTGGTACCGAGGTCAGGCTGACAGGCTTGTAGCTCCCCAGAGCCTCCTTCTGGCCTTTCTTGTAGCTGGGCGTCACATTGGCAAGATTCCAGTCATCTGGGACCTCCCCTGTTAACCAGGGCTGCTGATAAATGATGGAGAGTGGCTTGGCAAGCTCTTTCGCCAGGTCTCTCACTACTCTTGGGTGGATCCCATCAGGCCCCATAGACTTGTGGGTGTCCAGGTAAATGTTTGCAACTAAGTGGTGCGCTCTGCTTCCTTTTGCCTTCCTACAAATACTGTCTTCTTATTATATGCATATGTGAACACTAACAGCATCTTTGAAAGTGCTCTTTTCTAGACCTGAAACTACACAAATAAGACATGCACCACAGCTACCTTTGTACAGGTTCCAAAACAGGAAAAGTTCTCCTCTGCTTGCAGTAGTGCTACCAACATGACCAAACAAATTGACACTTGGATCCCAGAAGACACGATCAAAACACAAAACAACCTAGAAACAAAAAGAATCAAGAATTAGGAAAAGCGCGCAGGAAAAATAAAAATGAAGACAATTACACTCATTGATGTTTATGACTGGGAAGGTCAAGATAGGAAAATCTGGCGGCTATATACTGCGTATATGTAGTACATAAAAGCATACACCTATATTGCCTTCCATAGGTTAGTATGCTCTCATACTTTACAAATTTGCTGGCTAACAAGCTACAGCAGTCACACTGAGTCAACATACTTCTGAAATTTAACTATTCAAAAATTGTGAGTGAAATAGAGAAAAGGTCCTTACAGTTCTTGAGATAATTTTCAGCATCACAATCTAGTAAAACAGTAGTGGAAAAAATGTTCTTCCTCTCACCCACCATACAAATTCCACACACGTTTCAGATTCTACCTATTGCAACCCCTGGTGTGCTGCAGTGCCCTCCGTGACCAAGTCACCTTGTTAAGGTTGCCAAATCCCATACGCTGTACTGCAGAAGTTTTCCACTCAGGAAGAGGTGGCACAAACTGTACTGCTGGAGGCTGCTGTTTCAATACTCCCAAGGGAAGAGTACACAGCACAGCATCACATTTGTAAATGAAAGTCTGGCTAGTAGATCGGGTATTTACAGCTATCACTTCACAGCCTGGAAAGGGGAGAGAAAACCAATCATTTAATAGGCCAGGAAGCAAGAGCATTGGATTAAAAATTAAAAAAAACCTACCATAAAAGCATATCCACATCAGAAAACATTTCCTTTGTGGCAACAGCTTTACAATAACAATTACTTCACTTGTAGGCACGTGAATGTTACTGGCCACATAGCTCAATTCCAGAAAGTGTAATTTAGCATAGCATCTGGAAATGGCCGTATTGGGATAAACCTAAAGGTTCATCTAGGCCAGTAAATGATACTTAAATATATTCATAAATAAATAACAAGTAGAGAGTGAGCCCCTCATTGAGTTGCTCTCCCAGCTGAAAGTTTCTCGAGCCCAGTATTTTGAAGAACAGAGATATATTCTTTCCATTTGAGTCCCTATTACATTCATTTATATTTCTAATGTCAGATCCAGTGGCACCAAAGTCTTAAGCAGACCAATACCTCTTTACTCCCAACACTTCAATCAATGAAGTAAAGAAATGGAAGAACAAATGTGAACTTGTGAATCAGAAAGTAAAACTGAAAAGGATGGTGTCAAACCAGCCATAGAAATAAGCAAAATAAGATTAATAAATCTCTAAAAGCTTCCTACACAATCACAATAAGAAATGTGGCTGTATATCTAACCCAAAACATATAATGGGAGGGTTTCTACAAGATGGATCTTCACATCTACTTCCAGAAGCACTGAAATCTAATTTCTATGATCATACTCCCCCAGAGCAGTTTTCTGGAGGAGATGGTTTCATTTACCTGATGCTGTGTAGCGGACCTGGCGAACTGCTGTGTTCAACTTAATATCCAACCCTTCTGCCAAGGCTACAGGCACACAGGAATATCCATTCCTCACAGTCAAGTGACTGCCAGTGAATTCAAAGTCATCATCCTAAAACAGAGATGCATAAAAAGCATGCATTTGTAATGAAATCACTCAATAGAAAATAATCAGCAACTCTACACAATGGCAAATTTTTTTCAAAACCTTTTTTTTTCCCCTCAAGAGTGAGTCGAATAAATTTGAAATCCTTTCTGTTTATTAGTCAAGTAATAATATAGGAAGTTTCCGTAGGCAGTATTATTAGAGAATGTTTTGGCACTAATAAAAAGCTTTCTGGAATTTCATCAGCAAATCATCATCTAAGAGCTCAGTGTTTGCATAAAAGCAGATAGCACTTCAGTGTTTAGAAGCTGTTAACATAGAGAAGCTTCCGCAAGAATGAAATAAATACAGCTTAAATTCTTAGTGTATTGCTGAATGAATACATTAATTAGCTACCTGGTCCCAGTGTTTCAGTGAAAGCGTAGATAGGGGTGTAGCATTAGCAAATTCAAGGTTTGCAAAATGCCAGTCGAGTATTTGCCTGTCTCTTGATGACAGATAAACATCACTAGGAAAAAAACAACATAACACAAAGACATTTAGGTTACTAGAGTAGGATGTTGCAAATGCATTGCTTTTGAAATTTTTTTTCAGTCGTCTTTGTTTGAGTCCCTCCTTAGTGGAGAAGTAAAAAAATTAAAAAAAGAACACAAGCAGATTGTTTCAAACATTCAGACCCCCTTCAGGAAAGCTAAATGTCAGAAGCCAGCAAATTCATATTTTCAAAGTAGAGTTTCTTTAAAATATTCTAAATGAAGCTAGAAACTTAACTCTAGAAATAAAGTTACATAAATACACATGCTTAAGTGGCATGTATAAAGAAGACAGCTAAAAACCTAGTATAATCACACGGAGCACAAAATAATATTCTGCCAAAATAAGCAGGATTAGTATGCTACCATTATTGAAGGGGACTTCAAATCTCAAAGGCTTCCTGAGATCAGGCACTAGTTACAGTAAGGATTTGTACTATAATGCACCCTAGCTAAGAACCACCATTTTTCTCCGAGTCACCTCTAAAAACAAGAAGATGAGTTCTAGAACTGAGGGAGCTCAAACTTCATGTTTGTATCTTCTTAACTCCCTGAATTACCATAATTAAAAGAAAGCATACCATAGCATTTTTGAAACTCACTGAAAAGTAGTAAAAAAACCTATTTTCCCGAGTATTTTTTTTTATAGTTTGTATCTTTACCTTGGTGGATTGGCTTCAAGTTCTTGTAACTTCTCTTCCAGCTTTCCTTGTGTTTCTGCCAATTCATCATACTCCTAATAAGATTAAAAGCTAGCATTAAGATCAGTTTACATGTAAAAGGACTTAAAGACATCATGTAGAAAAAGACTAAACCTAATCTCAAGAGAAATCAGTGGAAGATTCATGGTTATAGTGGAATCTAAATAAAGTCTGTTATTTTTTCCACACTTAATGCAGCATATTTTGCCCTTCTGCTGTTCAAATATACAGAAGCCTATGCCACACTGCAGAAAAGATTAGTATGCTAATATTTCAGGAGCTTAAACACTCAGATCTGAAGAACACGAAGGTCCATTACAGTCCTGGTATTTTAAGGGTTCCTACGATACTGACAGCTTTTTCATATTGCACAAAATGTTATTTCTATTATTCTTTCTCTCTTAAAAGATCAAACATCGCGATTTCCAAAGAAGCAGCAGTTATGCAAAAGGCAAAGACATGATCTAATTCAAGCTTCTTTCAGAGTTGATTTTTTCCTTATTTTAGAAAACATTAGTAGAACTATGTATAAAGGCAACAATCATTTTCCTTCATGGCAGAATAATTTGGAGTGCCCAATAATACCAACAAGAGCACAAAGCTGTTCATTGATAACAAAAATAGAAGAGCTACTACTTATGTATACACAGACGCATTGAGCTTCCAAATAAAGGTACGTATCTTCTGTTGAACAAGTAGCTGAAAAAAGATCCTTGGTTCTATGTAACCTGGGTTAGCAAGGTGTCTTTCACCGTGATAGAAAGAACAGTTTCTAAGGTTTCCTTTTTAAGGTATATTTCTACACCAAGATAAGACACAGAGCTGAGGCCTAACTCTGCTTGTCAAGATAGAGCTCTGTAAATGATCATCTTTGGATAGAAAGAAGTCTTTTACTCAGGAAACTGCCTTTTTTATCTTAAAGAAAGACCATCTCTCTTCAAATACACATTTTATTTCCAGATTATTGTGAGACCTAGCAGTACTAAAGACCAAGTCTGCCCTAAAATTCAGCCTTCATAACATTAAATGCTGTCTGACATGAGTCAACACAGACTGTTACCTAAAATTGAGCCTTCAACATATTAATACCCTCCATCACGAGCCATGAAGGACAGGTACCTAAAGGTACTTAGTGCAGCCGTATTATCAGTAGTACAACCCAGAGTTACCATCAATCACATTCTCTTGAGTGTTGGATCAGAGGGATCAGAAATATTTTTACTGGCTAATTTTATCTGGCTGCTGAAGTCCTCAGAAACTTACAGCACTGAAGTGCTGTATGTATATCATCCCTTACCTTGCAAAGTGCAGTCAGATCTCTGTGTTTGCTTTTCACAAGGAACTCTGCTGTAATATCCCGAGGTGGCTTCACTTCTGATGCTTCCTTATACTGTTGGTGAAGTTCTTTAATCTTCTCTTTTAAATTCACCATCTTTTTTTCAGGTGGAGTAGGAAAAGGGAGAAAGAAAACAAAAAAAAAAAGGGAAGGTAGATTTCATGCAAGTTACTGTGTAAAATGGATATTAATCTCAAACTATGCCATTATACCAAAGAGATTTCCTGGTTTTGGCAGATGTTCTTTATATGCAATTCTACCTCCAAGAAACCATAATAAATACCAGCAACCACAAAACAACACCGTTTAAAGCCATCATCATTGATTTCTTACAAAAAATGTTGCAAGTAACTTAGGATATGAGAGCTGTCCTCAGACATTTTATATTTGAGAAACTTTCATGAAGAAGTAAAGATGTCATCTACCACAACCACAAACATTTTAAGTAGGCTAATAATCAGATTTGTGGTAAAGAAAGTAAACATTTTAAATAACCCCCCAAAAGCCTCAGTTATTATCAATATCTCTAAAGGAAGTTGACACAGCACTGTTTACCATGTCTGTCCTCTCCCTTTCTTTTCCCATTTTTATGTTTTACAGTCTTCTGCCTAATGAATTATGTGTTCCTCCTCAAAAATGGAGACTCCTTTGTCATAACAGTGCTTCTAGGCAGGTCTTAAATGGACAGATACATTTAAGAACAGCATTAATGGCAACTTTCTGATATTTTTGAATGGAATTTTTTGTGCACCTCCACTTTCTGAGGAGCACAATGCTATCTTTTTGTTCTAAATGTCTGACCTTGTTAAGAAGGTCTTTCAATTCCTCCTGTGTTTTCACAATTTTTTTCCAGTGTTCAATCTGCTCATCCTTCACGTGCTTCTCCTGCAATCTTGAAAACGTGAGAAGTGAGAGTCAGTTCAGCATAAAATCCTAGCGTTATTGAGAAAACTCATTATCACAATCTAATTTGTGTAATACAGTAAAAGCACGTCATGGGATATTTTAGTAAATACTTGTGTGGCATTAGAAAATTAACACAAGTTTCTGCAAATAAAGGATACTTGACTAGCTAAAACGTGAGTCTGAAGTTATCTACTATTATTAAAAGGCATATTTCAAATGCCACTAACTTTGAAGTAGCATAAATGGGATAAGTCAATTATCCACTATCCGTTACTGCAGTAGCAATTTTCAGGAAACTTTCAAGACAAGATGTTTGCTCCTTTAACCACCTTTGGCATATTTTGCTTCAATAAACAAGAAACACATACACAAATGACAACTCAGTAGAGGCCAAACAGCTGTATTAAGCGTGTAATGCTTACCCTAGCAACATCACAATTGTTTCAGGTATCTTTTGGAAAATCCTCCACAAAACAGGGAAGTCTACCCCAAAGAGAGAAGTCACTTACTGTATAACAACTTCCAGGGCCTGACCTAGGGAGACAGGCTTATTATTGAGAACATTAAAATCCAGCTGATGACTGAGATAGGAGGTGGCTTCCAGCAGACGATTAAATTCTTGCTCCACCATTTCATCCTTCTCTTTTGGAACCTAGGAGTCAAAAGAACAAACTTTCTTCTTAATAACCTATTCATAAATAAAAAAGGAAAAATATAGATCACCAAAGCTCAAAGCCTCAGAGACAAGATACTTGAGTAGTACACAGAAAATTTTAAGAGGAAACCAGAGCAATGACACAGATACCTTCTCTACTGCAGTCTAAATTCACAACACCTTGTAACAAACTCAAAATGCTACCATTCTGCAAATCAGAGGAATGCGAAAGGCAGGGTACAGATAAATTCTCAGAGCAGTGCTCAAAAAACCAAAAAAGTTTAATGCCTTAAACTAGAGTGGTACTTCAAGAGTACAATAACAAAGTAGCTGAGAATAGCCCTTATAGAAAGAAATTTAGTACCTTTAGCTCTCTTAAATGGTCAGACACTAAGGTCTGTACAACACAAAGTCACTTTGCCAGGATGTCTGGCCAAAGAGCTACAAGAAGAGCTGGTAAATCATGACGACAACTGACTTCTCTTGCATGAAGAAAGCAAACTAATTTATGGGCACATGAAGATTTCCTTACTGGAAGGTGTATTCATCAAAGCTCCAGAAGTTTGTCAATGGGACAAAAGACCACTGTGATGCTAGGATGGCTCTACGCAGTCACAAGGTTTTAGAAGGCTCAGCATCAGTGAAGTAGACAGACAGTAACATCTTTTGGAGTGGTCAGTGTGAACAGAATATTTAACTTGGAAAGGACCTACAATGATCATCTAAACCAACTACCTGACCAATTCAGGGCTGACCAAGTTAAAGCATGTTATTAAGGGCATTGTCCAAACAATTAGACACTGACAGGCTTGGAGCATCGACCACCTCTCTAGGAAGCCTGTTCCAGTGTTTGACCACCCTCCCAGTAAAGAAATACTTCTTAATGTGTAGCCTAAACAGTCCCTGGCACAGCTTTGAACCATTCCCACACACCCTATAACTGGATACCAAGAAGAGATCAGTACCTCCCTTCTCCACTTCTCCTCAGGAATGGTGGTATTTGACTGTACTGAAGATACTCATTTAAATAGTGTGTGCTGCTGCCTGCGTGGAAATACTAGTTAGGTGATGATGGTTGCATTGCTGAAAAGAGCAAGCATCACAAGGTATTAACATCTGTATTAAACCCTGTCTAGGTTAAACAAAGGATAGAAAGAAAACACTGATGAGTATAAAAGAAAGATCAGTATGAAGAGAAGAAAAAAAAGTATAACACTTCAGAAAGACTGAGAAAGCTCCTGGATGACTGCTAACCAGAACAAAAAGCGCTTGAGAGGTGCTGTTAACGATGCTAGGCCTATTCCTATGACTTTACCAGATGGCTCTTCTCCAATTCTTACTCACTCCTAACTCAAAGTATACCCTGTGTCAACTGGGAAGTTACATCAGCTCTGAGTAGGATTCCTCTTCCACTTTGCAGCTGGCCATTCCAAGCATTCATTCTTGTGCCAATGTCTATCTTCTAGCTCTGTAGACCTTTCTTGTCTGGCATTTTCCCAGACTGAAACACTGAGGTTCACAATTAATAGTCATACTTCATCTCTGGGTACAAGATTATCACAAGCATAACAGGCCAACTTTTCCAACTGCCTATACTAAGATGTTGAATGTTCCACTACTCTTGTGGTAAAATGTTAGAATCCCATACTGATCTGCAGGTAGTGTCTCTCTGAAGACTTACCGCATCATGAAATGAATTTCCCTATTTCTGAATTTTTTGAGAGAACCTTAAGAATGAAGACACCTCCCCCACCCCATGGCTGCCAAAGAGTAGCGACTCATCTACTCTGCCATCAGTGCAAGGTTCTCCTTTTTTTTCTTATTATTCAAATTCTCCTATCACTCAAGGTGAAATGAATGAACTCATTTTTGACACTACTATATTCAATACTATATCCCCTATTTAGTTCTCAAGATCATGTGCTTTTAAAACATGATAAAAGTTTTGTGATACTATCACGTCAAAGACTGGAATATTATATGCAACAGCACTATAGAAAAGACAAATTATATGACTAGATCACATATCTAAAGATTATTATTTTTTAACTGTATAAAAGGATATTTGAAACTTTCCTCATACTTATCTCCAGTCTTGTCCAATCTACAATTTCAAGATGTAGATCCATGCTTACCTTTCTGCTCATTCATGTAAAAACTAAAAACCTATCCCAAAGATCTGTATCACTTTCCCCAATACTGCTCCCCTTCAGAATTACATGATGAAACTTCCTCTTTAGCCAGATGTGCACTTATGATTCCTCTATGCCATCCTCTACAGTAGTTGCTGTCAGTCACATTTGATAGCAATTATGTAACTCCATAGCTATGTAACAATGTAATTTGCACCTATTAAGAGGGACCTGGGTTTTATATCAAGTAGAACACGTATTTCACAACTATGAGACTATTTTCCTATATGTACCAGAAAGCTTTGACAAGGTTACTGAGCATAGCAAATGTATAACAAAAGCTTCAAATAGCAGTTCCCAGGTGCAAACTTTTTTGTCACATTCCAGTGATACACTCACCACTGACTTAACCTTTGCATTCTTATACAACACCTGAGCACTAGGATCTACTTTAAGAGCGTGGGTATGTACTACGGTGCCCTTTCAATTTTTTAATCATGAAAAAGGAAGAGCTGGAAATGAAAAGGCATGATCTAAAAATGACTTTGCTTCTAGGATATTTCCTTACAGTCAATCCACGGATAAGTAATTCTGCCTCTAAACAGAAGACCCTGGGGATGAACAGGATGCTGCTGCAGTTTCTGGCTTAAGTAAAAGCCCCGTCCTCCGTGGGCCAGAACTTGATACACATCCTCAGTTGAAGTCTCAGTGGAAGAGGGAGGACTTGCTACTACTAAGCACTGCCTTAAGACTGAACAGAGGCTCTCCAGAGCCACAGGGCAGACTCCACTGGTCAATTAGATTTCTAAGATCTTTTCTAGATGAAGAGGTGTAGAATAGGTCTCCTGAAGGTTAAAAAAAATTAAAATTGTAGCCTATTTCAAGAAACTGTTGGTAATCACCTTAGCTTCATCTTCCAGTTTACAGCTTAAGCATCTACTGTTACACCTCAAGTTACGTGTAATGAACGAAGAAGCATTGCCCAAGTATGCAGAGATGGCATTAGGAAAACCAGAAGTCAGCCAGAGTTATAACTGAGATGCTGGACATAACAGGGCAAGAAGAAGGGCTCTCTACATACACAGCAGCAGCAAACAACTAAGGATAATACAGACTGCAGACCCGCTGCTGAATGTAGTGGTAATGGATATGGAAAAGGCTAAAGCACTGAATTCCTCTTTGCCTCAGACTTTGAGTAAGGTCTTGCTCTCAGGCCTCCCCGATCTCTTCTCCCCTCACTGTAAACTCTGTAAAAGTTGGGGGAATGGTCTGACAAATACCTCATGAAATTCAAAGGCAAAGCCTTAAAACTGTGATGGAATGCCCCCAGGCATCAGGACAGGCTGATAACTGACTGTTGGGTATCAGCTCTGAAGAAAAGGATGTGAGGATCCTGGTGTACAACAAGTTGAAGACAGTATTACAAAATGCACACATCCCAGGAATTTGAAGTTAGGATGAAAAAAGGGAAGAGAAACGACATTTTGATATTCATATTGCCTACCTTTTCACAGCTGACATCAATGCCTCATTCAGAAGCTCAGGCAGCTGTGCAGGCAGCAGAACTTCCCAAAGACTATACAGAACTCCTAAATCAGTAAATTTTTCTGAGGAAACCAACTCACCACAAAGAAAGGATCTGAAACTTTCAGTCATTAAGAGGTCATCCTATATGCAGAGAATTTGATTCCATCCATCATCTCTTTGAAGAAAAAAGTCTTTATCTTCATGAGGTAACACCACGGCAAAGACTAAAACCCAACTCAACAGAAGAAAGCAGAAACAAGGAGTATTTTTACACAATCTAACAAGAGACAGGCGAGAATAACTACACTTTAGAGGAGTGGTAATTGAAGGTATAAAACTGGTCAATCTTGAGTCATCATACAGCTGTGCACAACAAGAAAGATTTAGGCCTTCAGTGCAGAGCTTAATGATGAGGATGTACAGACAGTGTGTAACTCTTACGTACTTTGCCCTTCAGTAAGATGCAGATAGTGGAGGAAAAGACTGGCAGGAATAGTTAACCACTGAAAAGATACTGAGTAGATTTAGAAAGCTGTCAAGACAGTAGCCCAGATATGAAGGACATCGGATTTTTATTTGTCCCTAGACTTTGTCCCTAGACCTAGTGCATTCCCTGCTTTAGCTGTCAGAGTTGTTAACTGGTGTATATTGTTTTCCAAGGAGATCTAGACACTTCCTAGGATAGCTGTGGAATTAGCTAATTTAAAAGCTACAACTTGCCTCCTGTCAAGCACCATGAATTTTGCCAAAATGCCAGAGGGAGAGGTGGAACATTGGTGCTTTTCTATTTGAGACAAGAAAGGCTGTTCTCTTAGCTATTACTGGTAGAGACAAATTGAGAAGGTTTTGAGGTGGAAGGGGCAACAAATGGACTTGGGCTCAGGCATAGGCTGAAAGGAAAATGTAGAGGGCCGCTATCAAGTTAGTAGACCCTCTATTGGCAGGGTGAGCAAAATTTTTGCTCCCAAGAAAGGTACTTAGAAGTTACTTGACAATGCTCATTAGTAACACAACGTGAATGCACCTTTGGAAGAAGTATATCCTGTAGAAAGTGATTTCAGCTTAAGCTAAACTTATTTTTCACTGTTTATTAAGTAGAACCTTGACAGTGTCCTTTCAACAATTGCAGCAGAAAGAAATACAATGTAAGCAGGCTGACAGCTATTTCAGGATAAGCTTTATACAGTGGGGTAAAAAAATCAAAGTACTAAGATATAAAAACATTGCAGAAGTAGATAGAAATAGCAGTGCTAATAATCAAAGGAAACAGTGTGGCAACACTAAAAAAAAGGGAAAGAAAGGATTATTAAGTAACTGCCTTGGTGGAAGTAGCATCATGGAGTGTATTAAGGAAAAACAAGAGAAAGACAACATAAGGAGTACATGTCAAAACACACAGCTTTCAAGTTACAACCGCACATCTGAGCGAGCAAATTCAAATTTTCTTTCTAGAGCTTCTGTTTTCATTTCTTTACTTTTTATCATATGAAGTAACAACCTTTAACAGTTTAGATGGTCATGAGCTCCAGACAGTACAGAGATATGATCACAGATAGATGCACAGATACTGAATGACACATAATTGAGATTATACTGGCATTTGTGGTATCTAGGTGGTAGAAGATTAAAATATTGGTCATCATTACTCACACCACAACTTCTCTTCCTAATTATCTGTCAATATTAACTATCTAATTTGAAACCATTTTTAGCCAAATGTTCCAGAAGCTATACATGACAGACATGCTAGGAAATAAGTGGCACACAGAGGCAATTTTATTTATTTATTTTTAAACCAAGGAAGAGCACTCTGGTTCATTACATAGTCACCAAGACAACATTCAACACAATGAACTGATGAAAATTCGGTCTGGAAAATATATCCAGTTATACATACCAAGCTTTGTGTGCAGCAGGTAAACTGACAAATTTTGTGACGTGCTTTCTTAAAATATGTCTAGTGTTATAAACCTTCCTGTCATTACACTAATAAATGCACAGATCTAAACAGCAGCAATTCCTTGCTGCAACAACCATTTTTGAACACAAGGAGGTGATATTACCCATCCCACAAAGTTAGCCAAAAGAGCCACAAGAACCTTTTCTAAGCTGAGGGATTCCTCCCTACCCCAGGGCTTGGCCGCATGCAGCCACGCTGCCAGTTTCCATCCTGACCCAGTCTCCTAGGATAAATGATTTCCCTCGCTACAAAAAGGACACTGAGTTGCTGGAGCATGTCCAGAGAAGGGCAATGAAGCTCATCTGGAGAACAAGTCTTATAAGAAGCGGCTGAGGGAACTGGGGTTGTTTAGTCTGGAGAAGGGGAGGCTGAGGGGAGACCTTATTGCTCTCTACAACAACCTGAAAGGACGTTGTAGTGAGGTGGGTGTTGGTCTTTTCTCCCAGGTAACTAGCGATAGGATGAGAGGAAAAGGCCTCAAGTTGTGCCAGGGGTGGCTTATACTGGATATTAGGAAAAATTTCTTTACTGAAAGAGCGGTCAAACACTGGAACAGGTTGCTCAGAGAAGTGGTGGAGTCACCATCGCTGGAGGTATTAAAAAAAAATGTGTAGACATGGCACTTGGGGACATGGTTTAGTGGGCATGGTGGTGTTGGGTTGACAGTTGGACTTGATAATCTTAGAGGTCTTTTCCAACCTTAATGATTCTATGATTCTAAGTAGCATTTGAATGTGGTACAGGAAACACTACAGAGTAATCAGAAGGAATATTCCTTTCCAGACACTCCCACTGGCTTCTTCTGTGACTGCCTATCTGATGAGCAAGGGAAATTCCTGGACCACAGGATGCTGGAGCTGCATATGCCTGAGGGGCTTAGCCAGATATAAGTGATCTAGCATATGGTGGACAGAAAGGAGTGGGCTGCAGAAAGCAAGGCTATATGGTAAAGCTGCAGGCATCACAGCACTTACCAAGACAGTAAAAGCATGGTAAAAAGTTCAAAGTAGCTGAACTGTGTGTCTTATTGGGTGGTGTTAATTGAGGGACCCTCTTCAAATTGCTCAGGGGTACAGCTGCCCCACTGAGAGATACTGAAGCACTGCTTGGGCAGATGCTGAAAACAGCTGTGAGAGGGGAAACGCAGCAGTGCAAAGGCAAGCATGTCACATGCAAAACTGGCTTCACAACACAAGAGCAGACTGACTGCTAGAACTGTCTACAATGCTTTCCCCGAGTTTATTATAACACCCTATTCACTCATGCACATTAAGAAAAGCTACAGGTGCCAGGCTACAACGGGTTTGTGCCAAAGATCACTTTTTCAGGGCTCTACCACGAAGCCCAGTATCCTCATCTGTCTTCTTTCAGAAGTTACTCTTAGTACCATATTTTAAGATTCAGGACGTAGGAATGCTTCCAGTCAATACATACATAAGATTCAGCACTAAACTAGGAGCTATCATTTCTGTCTCTAACAGCACTCCTTGACACTAAAGAAGAAAGGAATAAAGCCAATTAAGTTTGTGAATCCCAGCTCTAGACTATCATTGAATGCATGCAACAGTTCAGCAATCAGCTGGCACTGTTTAGTCAATTCTTTAAAAAGCAACCAATAAGTAGAACAGCCAGAATGACCTTATTTCAGGGAAAAAGAGTAGCAGCAACTAAAGCAAAAGCTAGAATGCCAGCACAGCAGACAACTGTTTCAAAGAGGAGCGAGACAGACAACTGCCTAAGGAAAAACAGTAATGCATTTGGGAAGAACAAACAGGAACTTAGTTTCCACAAAACCTGTGAAATTCAAAGTTAAAAACTCATGTGGAAAGAACAGCTTTTAGAAGAATAGGTGTAGACGCGCTGGAATATTACTATACTGCCTAAAAATGGACACATACTTTCATTACTCCTCTCTCTCCTCCTGGAAACTATCTCCTGCTAGACCAATGGCCTGGTAGCAAATACACTTGAGATACTATCTTTTTAAAAGGTTCATGGAAACAGTATCAGACTTACAGCTTGTCCATTTGCTTCATAAAGTGGGCATTTTTGTTTGATCTTAGCCAATTCCATATTCACTTGTTTGCTGACCACAGCCATGGGGTTTCCTCCTGGAAAACATTTTGTATGGTTAACAGAGTACTCCTGCAAAATTTGTCTGCAATGAAATAAAAGTTCCAGTTAAACCTATTTCAGAGACTAAACACACCAATGCCAGTGCAAAATGCATTCCAGTGCAGTAATATAACACTGCCAAAGATCTACTCTTCACAGCAATTCTTGCAAGAAGGTCATTAAAAATACACCCACAAAACAACCTGCCCACTGCCCACCAACACTTAAAGAACAGTATGTAAAAAGGGCTGATTATAAAAGCAGAGTCCTAGGGTGGCAGCAAGCTCAGTACGACTGAGAGTTTATAGCTATACACGTATTTTCAAAAGGTTTGCAAGCAGTTTGAAAAGCCAAGGAAAGCTCCCACAGCTACACAGTAACTTCAGGAGCTTTTTGAAAGTCTGGTGACATGGTGATAGAACCTGAAGAATTCAGTCTCTTAAAACTTAGTGGAACTCCAACAAGTGACACGGTTAATATAATCTATGAAGATGAGCCATGTACACCAACTGTACCTGCAAGACGTGTAACTAGTCAGACTAGAAAACAATCTAGGAGATTCCACACAGAAACATGAGGATGGCATAAAGCATCAACTTTAAGCATCCAGAATCAGTAAAGCTCAAAGCCTCTCTCGTAAGTACAGCAGAGGAAAGGAAAAGAATGGACACAAATGGTAAAAGGCATAAAGGACAGGCAATACAAGTTTCCTCTGCAAAATTAACTTTGGGAAAAGTTTCTCAGATCTAGCTTCCCAATGTTCTCAGATTCTGCAATCCAATCAAACCCAGAGACTTAGTTCAAAATACAGGGAGAAGTTCATCCACCCTAATACCTTCCTGTCTTTAGAGAGGTGACTGAACAAACAGAACAGAGTTTTGAGGTAGGTTTAAATAAGTTCATGTTTCAAGTTCAACAACCTACCAGAAATTTTAGTTCTTCTATGGTTTACTAACAAAACCAGAAATGCCCTCATAACTTCAGTCTTTCACCCTCCCAAACCACAAGCTCAACCATTTCAGTAGTTCTCCCTCCTCACATCTCTTCCAGATTCAGAAATATGAAGGATGCCCTTCAACCCATCTTCTTTGCTACAGGTATATTTCTTTCTCTATAGAATATGCTGCCTTATTCAAGGCAAAGGGTAGATTATTTTGGAAAGGAAACACCCATGATGAGTTAAATATAAAAATATTACAGTCTTTCACTAGGCAACATTACATCCTTTACCAGGATTGTGCAACTTCCATACTCTTTGTCTGGAAGCAGTTTCTGTATGCTATTTAATAAAGCCTAACCGTAAGACAGACACCAAGTTTTTCCAGCCAGTAAAACTCAGTTAGGTTTTGTTATAGGTTTTATAATATTTTATCATTTCACTGCATTACTGAAGGTTATTCCACACTAAACACCTGCCCATCTTCTTAGCAGAGTAATCAGAATCAATAACTGATGCCATCCCGTAACCTAGCATTAAATAGGAAGAAAAATAGCTTGTTTGGCATTATTTTTACAATTATTTTTGAAATCACTTAAAGAAAGGACTTTTGGGGTTTAAATCCCAACTTTAAGAAGGGCTTTCTCTTTAGAACGGCTCTGCTCTTCATTCTTCATTCCCCCTCCTGCCTTCCCCCCCTCCGCCCCCGTAAATGAAAAAACATATTCCATCTCTTTGGAGTCTCTCCCATCTTTTAAGTTTCCTATTTATCTGCTCTTATTTACTTTGCTCTTAGCTACTCGACTAATCCCCTCAGTACATTCCTACTTCTCCATGTTCAATTTCATCTTATACTTTAGAAGATCCAAGGGAACAACTAAGAGTTCCCAAGAAATTCAGTCCACAGATCTGAGCTCAGAGGCCACTGGCAGCTGGGTAAAGCAGCTTTAGAAAGACTTGCTCAACAAGCACAGTGAACCCAGTGCAGACACCACCTTAAAGGAACTGGGCAAAGGAACAGATATGCAAATGGGCAGCATGCCAAGGGCAAAGCAAAGAATTCCACTAAGCACAAGCAAACTGTAAAAGAATGGATATACAACAGTTTGATGACATGACAAGCACCTGTATGACTTCAGTGACCAATAAGAGCTATGGCACCAACCAAAATCCCAGCTTTTAGCATGGGCCACCATCTGTTCTGAAGATTCACTGATGAAAAAATGCTAACTGCCAAAGAGGCTGAACTAGAACAACTACTTTTCAATAGTTAAAATACCCAATTATTTTGATCATCAAAAGGAATAGCTTAGGGTTTCAGATTTGTAATAAAACTTGTCCCACAATTTTCCTCCCAGTTCCTTTTTACTTTGAAAAAACTCACCAAGTCCTGTTACCACCATTGCTCCTAGATCAGCAACATAGTTCCCTTTGCGAAATGTGGCAACTCTTCCTCCTACTCTGTCCTTTTAAAAGAACAATATATTAAACCTCTGGTAACATTCAACAATACATCTCACTTCAAATATAATCACTGGAACTTCTACAGAACATGGTATACATATTCTCTTATCCAAAGGTTCAGTAAATAGAATGTACACTTTTCTAAGAACCTCTGCAAATGAATACTTGATCTCAATTAATTTGCCTAGGTTAAGGAATAAAATGTTTAAGTTGCATTTAAGAAAAAAAAAAAAAGAAGAAAAAAAGATGCCTAACCTGGTTTGGACAGATTTAACTATACCTACAGAAGGATCCACTGTGATTCTGAAACCAATCCTTCATTGTCCATGGATAGATTAAGTTACATACTAGATTTCCTCCTCCCACTTCCTACCAGAAAAATCAAATAGCAATATAGCAAATGATTCAGATGTGCTTGAAAAAACAAAATTTTAGGGTTAGAAAAACCATCAGCAAATTATTCCTATCTATTCTCCACAGAAAGGTCAGCTATCAATCAAGAAGGTAACCATGAATCAACAGCCCATTTTAGAAGCAGGAAAAAGAGTTTTTGATTCAAGACACATACTACTGACTTCAGGATGACATTTATTTTCCTACCACTTTAAACTTAACAAGGGAAAAAAGCCGCCTTTCCCTATTCTCAGTCCAGCTAGCAAGATGATGTCAGAGAAAAATATCTATTACAATTGAGCAAAGATCCCAAACACCTACCAATTCATATAAAAATGTAAAGTTTGATTTTTAGAAATTAAATCAGCACTTCTATCCTGGCTGAAACCAGGACAAAACTAATAGTCTGAAAGTTACAGAAAATGAGTTGACACAAAGAAACTACCACCTGAATGACTGAAATCATAATGCCAGAAAAAAACCCAGACAGCTTTAAAAAATAAAATAAAAAAAATACAAACTACTCAACAAGAGATGTAGCAGTCTAGAGAAAAATGACTGAAAAATATTGTGTATTATTTTAAAATAGCCTCTTGACAGACCTACATACTGGTTGTAACAAAGATGTATAGAACAGGTTACAGCATGGATATCTCTCTTCCAGCTTCAAAAAACCCCCAACCACCAAGCCAAAACCAAACTAAACCAAAAAAACCCCACAATACATTCAGGTGAGCAAGAAACTCTGAAACAATTACATTGTTGCAGTCTCCTTTGATCTAGTAGTATGGAACCTGCGAAGCAGGGTCAGCAGCTCTTGCTCCCTAGCAACAAGAGAGTAGCTAGCAAAATTAAGAACTGGAAACGTTACTCTAATAAAAAACTTAAGCAGATCATTTTAATCTATGCTATGAAAGTGTCAGAAGTACATATAGAAACAAAATGAAGTCAGGAAGCAAACATAAGATAAATTCCAATTTAATTGGTCAATGGATTTATTTATTTTAAATTAGTATCAAGCTGTTCTCAATAGACTAGATTATATGAAAAAAACTTCAGCTTTAAAAAAGGAGATTCCACTCAGGAATGGATATAAAAAAATACCTTATTACTGGACAAACAATCATCTAGTTCATGCACCACAAAATGTAGCTCTATATAACTTTAAAGCCTCTGTTAAACACACAGTAATAAACAATGAAAGAATTAATGTAGACTTAAAAGGTGGAAGAAAAATATCCTGTCCAACATTGTATGGCAATTCCAAACAATGTTTCTATTTAATGGGAAAGTTCTTGAAATACAGATCTATATTCTGCTTTCCAGTGAAAAATCTGTTCCTAATCATGAAAGGAAGAGGATTCCAGCCTGTTACTGCTGTAAGCATATGACACAAGCATCTGATTATACAGTTCGCCCCTGAGAAAGCATTAGTCAACACCCAGTGATTCCTAGCCAGACAGGTTTAGTACTCAGCAACACATCCCAGCTGTCTGTAACAACACACAAGCTTACCCGTCTTGGGCATGCTGCTGGGATACTTAGCCTTATGCTAGTGCTGAATGCGATTACTGGTTAAGTTTCTGTATAAAAGTAAAATAGCACAGAAATTCATACCCTGGCTTCCAGCACTGTGACATCCATCCCAAAACTCTGCAACTGGCGAGCTGCTGCCAACCCAGAGACTCCAGAACCAATAATGATCACCTTTCCAGTCTTCTTGGCTAAAGAAAGGGAAAAATAAGCTACAGGCTCTATATGTGCATTACTACATTGTAAGTGGTCACATTAAAGTTGCACTTAAAAAATACCAAGAACCAAAAATAGCTTCCTTCTCATTGGTAGTTCTGACAGAACAAACTCTTAAACAAAACAAATAGCCAGAAAAAGAAAATTGAACTAATTATGTACCTAATATGGTAACAGTAAAACACTTCAGTTTTTCCTAATGAGACAAAACAAGAAAAATCACCAGTGACAAGGAAGAAACCTGGAGGAAAAACACTTCTGAAGGACAATTGTTTGAAGAAGAAACTGATTCCTATTAATTACTGTGGGACAACTTATCATAGTTTTATTTCTTTCTGTCCCAGAAGAACAAAACCTAGAAAGGACAGACAATTTCAGCACTTGTAATATTCAAGCATCATATAAGTATATAATAGATGCAAGTACAGTATTGTGTTTCTATCTTTTGTTATTCAAATGAGGAACAAAGATAATGCATTAAACAGTGACAGCCACCAAATTATCTACAGAAGATTTGCAAACATTTTCCCTCTCAAAGTGATTTACTTAAAATACATGGATTCTCCATGCCAAATAAAAACCAGCAACATTTACAGCCAGATGGCTTTCCAGCCACCACAATCCCCCAAAAAACCACTCAAAAATTTGTCCTAAGAAATCACAGAACAATAAAACAAAACCCCAAACAATTTTCAAGTTTCTTACTTGGAAGAGGCTTCACTCTTTTGTAGATACCAAAGTTGATTAGACCATGCCGCTCCAGATAGCTGTGTACTCTATGAACGAGCACTGTATCACCTAAAAAATTATAATGGTTTAAAATTATTCTGTATGTTTGGCAGCACACATGTACTGAAAACATGTTCACAAGCAAAGGTATCACAGCAACCCAACAAAATCACACTGAACACATCCCTTTCTGCACCCCCAGCTGCCTTACTAAAAAATCCATCTTCTTGAAGAAGGCTGAGGTTGAAGTTTTCTGGAAACCACAAGCTGTTTTCCATGCTATATTGCAGTTTTGAATAGTGCCTGAAAAGCTGTACAGGACGTGAAATGCTTCTATTTATCTAGTGTGGAAGAACACCATTTTTAAAATTGACTGCAGAAATCCAGAGATCTTTACACAGAACTGTAATGTGATTTGCTAGTATTATTACTGGAGCACTGAATTCTCATTTTTATTTTTATAAACACAGTAATACGCTGTTTTGCAATACTTGATAGTGTATCTGGGTTAATTTTAGCATTATTTTCTTCTTTAAGTACTTTTTCTTTATGGTTCCCCTTCACCCTTTTCCAGTTTATTGGGGCTTTTCTGAGAAGGGTGGAACAGCCTACATTTGCAAGCAGTAACTCCTCGCTCTTTTCTGCCTTGTATAACTGCCTTCTTTCACCATGGCCAGTCTGTTCAAGTCTTTTATACAACTTTTTTATGCCTCCCAGAAACCCTATGATTAAGAAAATCTCACAGCTGCAAACCACCATGAAGTTGTAGCAAACCTTAAAATCTGCATGTGAATTCACTTGCAGGAAACTTCTGTAATAACCCATTTTTTTACCAGCTTTTTTGAATTCTGCCAGGGATATACTTCTTTACCAGACAAAGGAACTCTAACAAACCTGAAACATGAGCATACTGCAATATCCCACTCCGCACATGAACACTCGTGGAGCCCCACTAACAAAAGGACCCATCTGAAGTCCTCTCTCGATTCTGAGCAGCTTTTCCCCAACCAAAACTGAGAAAGAACAGCAGTGACATGTACAGTATGGTTTTGGCAGTAGAAGACTTGACTTACTATTATAAGGTGCTTCTAACTGTTGGATAGTTGCTTCAAATGTCAACTGAATCTTTGGGTTATCCAACCAGAGCTGCAGCTGTATTTAAAAAAACAGTAAGACACATTATATTAAGCAATACAAAATAGGTGTTCTCCACATCTGTGTTTGTTACCAAATACTGTTAGGAGATGAAACCCTCTAACAAGTTAAACTTTGGCAATGCTATCAAAGCTGCACTGAACTTTGCCTTCCAGTGTTCTTTCAGGTGCAATATAGTCCATTTTAACTTCCTACACCATTTCAAGTAAGTGGAAATGTATCAAGTTAGCAATCTCCTAATCACACATACAAGAAAATATACACTAAAAGAACAAAAGCTACAAAATGGAAGCGCCAGAATGCTTATATGTACAGCCTTCCCTCCACCTGCATGGCAAGTGTGATATGTGCGACATTTGAACTGGGCATGCAGTATCAGCCAGCACCTGACTTTTCAGCATCAAATTTCACATTATTTTTGTAAAACGTACAGAATTTCTTGTCATCTTATGAAGTTTATTTATCTCAGACCTTTAATCATCTAATCTATCTTCACTGATATAAGATAATACCATGGACTACACTGGCCACATGTACAGAAGAAAGAATATTTAGAGGACAGTTACAGTTCAAACACCAAGCAGGAAGAGCTGCCTGTAACATACTAATTACATCACGCTAGGAAAAAAGCACCAAATAATAGAATCACAACTGTTTTCCCAACAGAACTCCTATTTTACAGCACGGATGGCAGTAGCTAATAAATAACATTTTACAGTTCAATGTCTACATCTAGGTCATACATAGCTCCATACCATTTTACATTCCAGAATTAGTAATTTATTTGGGTGTTTCTCTAGAATTGCACTACTGAACTTCACAGCTCCTCAGAGATACCAAATTAAAGTGGAAATAATACAAGTGTCATGAACAGGAAAATTATGAAAGAATTTCCACATAATTTGGGAGGCCATTTCAGGCAAGTTTCATTATTAACATAGTACTTTCTTCTACTATTTTTCCAAGTAATTTTTAACAATGTTATTTCTGATCATTTCTGACTGTGGAACTAACCATTTCATAGTACTACGGACCATAACGCTAAGATTCCATTCTCAGCTGGAAGAGTGCAAAGCCTATAGTCTATATTTTTATATACAAATCTCGATGTATGTATATATACAATTACTTCCATTATTCACAATAGTTTACTTTTATTTAAAATTAATTTCATCTGCTATGTTATCACCTAGTTACTCACAAGAGTCTTCATCTTTTGTAGTTTTTGTAGTCTTGATTTTACTACCTAAAATAACTTAGGTGCAGCAAATTACCATTTGTTTACAAGTTCTGATTTTTAGACCCTTCACTAATACACAGACCAGTGCAAGCCTTCAAAGATTTTAAAGGCTTCAAACCACAACTGCCCTGCACTGCCACAACAGATCATTTATCCTACATTTTTCTTTGTAGATTTTCATGATATGGTTTAACCAACAGTAAGTCAGCAAGAGCTTTTACCACTTTGTTGTTTTGGTTTGTTTGGGGTTTTTTTTTCTTTCTCTTTTTTACTGTTTGTTTTGGGGTGGAGGTATTCATGTAGAACATCACATGAAGTGGACCTCCTTTGTTCACCTTTTCATGAGTCCTTCGAAGAACTCAAATGGGCTGTAAAGAATCATAGAATCTTTGGGTTGGAAGGGACATTTTAAGGTTATCTAGTCCAACCTCCCTGCAGTGAGCAGAGACGTCATCAACTAGAGCAGGTTGCTCAGAGCCCCGTCCAACCTGACCTGGAATGTTTCCAGGGATGAGGCATCTCCCACCTCTCTGGGCAACCTGGGCCAGTGTTTTGCCACCCTCATTGTCAAAAACTGTCTTCCTTCTATCTAGTCTAAATCTGCCCTCTTTTAGTTTAAAACCATTACCCCTTGTCCTATCACTACAGGCCCTGCTAAAATGTTTGTCCCCATCTTTCTTATAGGCCCCCTTTAAGTAGTGGAAGGCTGCAATAAGGTCTTCCTGGAGTCTTCTCCAGGCTGAACAACCCCAGCTCTCAGCCTTTCTTCAGAGGTGTTCCAGCCCTCAGAGCATTGCTGTGGCCTCCCCTGGACCCTCTCCAACAGGTCCATGTCTTTCCTGTGCTGAGAGCTGGACGCAGTACTCCAGGTAGGGTCTTACCCCCTGGTGAGTGTAGAGGGCCTGAATCACCCCCCTCCACCTGCTGAGCATGCTTTGTTTGATGCAGCCCAGGATATAGTCAGCCTTCCCTTTATAAAAGCTACCATGAGCCTTCCAAAATACCTCTTACTTACTAGGTCATTCATTCAACTCTTGATTCCATTTGTTACCAGGCAAATTGGAAAAATCAGTCTTACTAATCTAACTTCTCTAACCTCTGGAACTCTGAATGTTCATGCCGTTTTCAATATTTTCAAATCCCTTGTACCAACTATAAGAGGATGCACACTGCAGTTCACACCTCTTCCAGAGCTCTGCTGAGCACTGGGTTTGCTTCACATGTTGTTCTATAATCTCTGTTACCCTGACTGGAGGAGATCCTCTCACAAGTCCTCCTAAGCAGGAATCCGTTTCGGAGGAACCTCTATAGTTTCCGCTGTAGCAAATAAGGACTAAAGACCAGCAATGCAACTTTCCTAGTGCAACCACACAAATACTCATTCCAAGCAGTCCTTTAAATCCTTGTCATTTATTAGTTTCAGTGGAAGGCTTTTCTGCTTCTAACATTTATAAAAGGATTAGTCACTATACATTTTAAGCAAACTGTTTTTCAACATTTTTGGCTTGCTTTGGTCTGTTTTTATGCCTCTCGTGACTTCCTAAAAGTTACAATTTAGGTTAATTAGAGGGAGATTTCACGGACCCTCTCCAACAGGCTCTCAGCATGAAGTCATGCTCTCAGCATGAAGATGTCCACCATGCATATATTTCAACAAACTTCTTAAAGTTATTAAGCATTGGGTGCTACCATGGTTAATATACTGTGACGTCCCTCGATCATCTTAAGTCCATGAATAAAATTGAATGGTGCATATAATGCATTTTCTCTCTTAACTATGGTAACAATGCAATTTTCAAAATATTTCTTGCTTTCCTACTGTTAGTTGTTCTAACATGACTTAAATTTTCTAAAACACTC